ACACCCTGCCCTGTTGTCCTGGGCTTGGCTCAGTTGGCCCTCTGATGAGCCTCTTGCCTCAACTATGTCTGAGTGAACCCAATAGGCCAGATAGCCCCAGTCCTGAGGACCCCTGTGCAAGGCTGCCTCAGGTCTGCCTGATCCAGAAAGCCTTACAGGAGCTGTATCCCCATCTACCTAGTTGGTACTCAAGACTGATCTGCTGTGTAGCCACAAAGTAGGGGCTGAGCCAGTGTGGAAAGCAGGGAGTGGCTGGTGAAGTCTGAGTGGATATGAGGCATTAGACTAACCACAGCGGCCAGACCCCTGGCCGTTAATGAATGACTTTGACCAAGCTTGAGCTTCTCACCTTCAGTCCTGGCAACAGGACTCCTCCTCCTCCCTCTACCCCCTCCCGAACTGACATCCTCTCCCCACTTTCTGTCACATCATGGGCACACTGACTCATGCCATCTAGGCCTTCATCCTCCACAGCCCTCCCCACTTGAGGTCTCTTTGCCTTTTCTGTGTTCTCCAAGGTTCTAATGTATGCCTATGTGGGTGGATAGGAGGTAGGCTGATGAAAGAAGGAAAAAATGGTGAAAAGACGGGTAGATTGATGGGTGGGTGGGTGGATGGGTGGAGGATGGGTGATGGATGGACAAGTAGATGGATGAATGCATGATGAATGGATGACTAACTGCATGGATGGACGGATGGACGGGTGGGTGGGTTGGTGGATGTGTGTGTGTGGGTGAGTGGATGGATGGATCGTAGGGTGGGTGAGTGGATGGGTGTTTGGGGGGGTGGATGGATGGATGGACGGACAGACGGGTGGATGGATGAATGGATGACTAACTGCATGGATGGATGGATGGATGGATGGATCGATGGATCGATGGATGGATTGATGGATGGATGGATGGATGGATGGATGAGTGGATGGATGGGTAGATGGATGGATGGATGGATGGATGGGTAGATGGGTGCATGAATGGATAATACTTATCCTAAAATAGGTGATGGGTGACTACATAGGTGAGCTGACAGCGTACATGTGTGTCTCTGTCAGGGGCTGGTGAGTGGGCCAACTGTTACAGACTGTCGCAGCAGAGTTAGAACCTGACCTTGTGACAGAATGGGAAATCGAGAAGGAGCTCTGGGCCAGGCTCCTTGAGATTTTCTTTTGGCCTTTCAGGTCTTTCTATGTGTAGCCTTGGGGTGACCCCCTTGTCCTTCCAGATCTTGGTTTCCCTTGGTTTTCCTGGGTTGCTAGGGAAGAAGTCACCTGGCACTGTAGGGTGAGGCTATCATACAAGGTTTGCATGAAAGTAAAGAGAAGGTGTGGCTTGCGGAGGGAAGGGCTGTAGTTCCTACCAGTTAAATAGTGGGGCTGCTCATCCCTGGGGCTCTGTCCACAGACCACACCTAGAGGCTGGGAGAAGAGCCAGGGAATGTCTAGTTCTGAAGCCTGGGAGACTGAGCCTAGAGCTGGCCTGCTGGGTGACCCAGGCCTGCCCACCAGGCACCCACTCTGGTCTCCCCATCTTTCATCTGTAAATTGGGCAGATGAGCGTCTGCTCTACCGTGCTTAGCAAAAGTGGGGTCTTTATGGCCCTGGAAGGCCCCTTGTACCACAGTGCAGGTGAATGCGGAGCCCAGGGCTGGGGAGACAGTGCTGATGAGCAGTGCAGGCTTGTGTACTGAGGACAGGACATACTGCCATGACGCTGACCCAAGGCTGCCTGAAGGGCTTGCTTGTCGTGGCTTTGGAAAGGAGGACTGACATCACAGGTCAGTGATGACAGGGAAGTTTGCTGGGTGGAGCAGCAAGCAGGAGGGGGCACATAGCATTTTTGTGGGGGACCATGCTTCTCCTCTAGCCCCACTCCCCCAGTGGTAGGGTTGGGAAGGCAGCATTGTGTCTGGGTTGGCACTGCTGGGCAGGGCAGAATTTATGTCCTTGTTTCTTAGCTTCTTTGCGTGAGCCCACACCCTCGCCACTGGTCCTGGGTGTAGAACCTGGAGACCAGGTTTGAGCCAGCACAGAATAATGTGTGACTTAGAAGGCTGGCTCACCCTCCCCAGCCTGGGACAGAGCTTCTCCATGGACCTGAATGCTACAGATGCTGTGATGTGGCCCTGGGCCAGTCATTTCTCTGAGCCATTCTAATCTTTAAATTAGAACGATGACGGTCCTAGCCCCTGGGGTTGCTGGGATGCTGAATGAGGGAATGTGTGTAAAACCTGCCTAGGCCAGGCAGGGCTGCCTGCAGAAACCAACAGAGGCTCTGACAAGATTCCCCCAAATTATCTCTCTTGCACCTACCCTGACAGGGACCCCAAGGTCCCTCTCCAGGTCTTTCCAGGCACTGAGTCAATCCCCAGCTTTTATGCAAGCTGGAACCATGGCCTGTGCCTGTTCTCTCCAATTCAGCTGGCCACTGTCTAGTCTTAACTGTCTGCCAGATCACCCTGTCTGTTTCTGGGAGTCTGGCTCCTCCTCCTTGGCCATATCCCTCTGCCTTCCATGGAAAGGTGCTGGCTAAAATGCAAACCACACCACTTGCTACTCTTCTTAGAAACTTCTGGATTTCTGCTGCCTTCAGGACAGAGTGCTCCACCCCTTGGTACGTGATGCTTGCCCTTCCTGCCTCTTGCTGGAGTATGGGCGTTGCACGTGGAGGAACATTTTTCCATTGCTCTAAGTCCCTTCCCACTCCCAACCCAGACCTGTTGAGAGCATTTGCTGGAGGAGGAAAGGAGGGATGGAAAGAGGATGAATGGATAGATGTAAAATAGAATAGATGGATGGTACGAGAAGATAGATGGATGAGTGGAAGATGAATAAAATGGTAGGTAGATAGATGGAGTGGTGGGTGGATGGGTAAATGAATGGATAATTAAAAAGACAGGATGGATGGGTAAATGGATGGGTGGATGGTGGACAGATGGTCGGTAAGATGGATGGGATGGGCAAGTGGATGAATAGATTAAAGGATGGGTAGCCACCAGGTACAGTGGTACTTAGAAAATGGAGGCAGGAGACTCAAGAGTTCAAGGTCATCTTGAGCTCCAAAATGAGTTTGAAACCATTCTGGCCTGCATGAAACTTTGTTTCAAAAAATGGATTTAGAGATGAAATGATGGTTAGGTGAAAGGCTGGAGAATGGATGGGTGTATGGATGAGAAGACGATGGAGAGATGATAGGAGAGATGGGTGGTTAAGTGTATGGATAGGTGGGTATACAAGATGATGGGTAAATGTATGAAATAAAGGATGAATACACAGATGGGATGATGGTTGAATGAGAAACTACAAGATTTATGGAAATCAATTAATAATAGAACAAATGGATGGGGTGATAGAGGGACGAAAGGATGGATGGATGAGTGGTGGGGTTTGTGGACAGTTGAAGTCCGAGGTGTGTTATTTCTTCCAAGGAGATCTAGGATAGTGCCATCTATATCCCGGCCTAGACTCAGACTGGCCTCTCCCCAAGGTACATACATATGGCTTTTCCTGTAGCCTTTTGCAGAACTCAGTTGTCACAGGCCTGGAAACCCTAGGGATGAAGAGCTCACCTCCTTTCAGGACCATCCCTGCTCCCCGAAAGCCCTCTGTCTCTGATCATGTTGCTGGGGAACTTAAGTGTGGCTCCCTGCTCAGGGCAAGAGCAAGACTGAGGATGTAAAGAGGTGGTCTGTTTCCTTCTGATTTTAAGGCCAGAGGGATGGTGTTGTGGCATGTGCTGGAGCTATCAGGCTCCAGGAAAGGGTTGGAACTTACTGTACTACTAGCCCTAGGTTGGTGTGGGCCACTGGACACCCAAATCACTTTTTTCCTTCTCTGCCTAGAGCTGAATCATCTTCCAGCTAAAGTCAGAGGCCATCAGGCCAAACTCTGCCACATCTGCTTCCTATTGGCTGTTAAACTTCCTGGATTTCCACAGTGGTCAGGCCCTTGGCCAGGATGGGGACCTGCTGAAGCCCCTCACTTTTGACCAGTGAAGTAGGGAGGGGACCGACTGACAGACTTGGATTTAGCTGGTCCAAAGACAGGGACAAGTCTCTGGAAGAGAGACTCACAGTTAATGAGGTTGAGGTCAAAGAACATTATGGGTTCCACATGACCTATACCTGGGCAAAAGTGGTCAACTGAACCACTTTCAGGGCAATACACTGGGTGCTGTCCTGGGTCAGCGTTAAAACTGACCCTAGTTTTAGAAAGATCCCTGGTTATAAACAGGGACTTAATCTCTGGTCATAGACTGAGCCTTGCTTTCTGGCTATAAACTGAGCCCTGCTCTCTGGTCATAGCCACGATCTCTCATCACAGATGGGCTATGTCCTCAGTCTCTGTGGTGGTCTGTGGGGCTCATGGTAAGCAAGAAAAGTCAGACAAGAAAGTGTCATGTGATGACAGGATCATGTCCCTCACCCCCCATTGACAATGTCAGAATCACCCAGATGTGTTGCTAGTACAAGAATCGTAGATTTTTGTTATCCACAGTCTAGAAGTCTCTACCCCTCTTTTTCTTTCAGAGGCCTCCAGACAGAAAGCCGTGATGCTTGGGATTGGTTGTACCCCAAGACTTGTGGTGGGTCTCACTAGACTGTCAGAGCCCTGTGACCCTGGGAACTGGCCCAGGACTGAAGAGCTCCCCACGAGACAAGGGTGGGGACCCCCCCCCCAACTCACAAGAGCAGAGAGCCTCTTCTCCAGGTACGGAGTGTCTTCAATGGCACTTGGTCAGGGGACCCTAGCCTGGGACCAGAGCTACCCTTGGAGGTTATGACCAAGAGGAAGATCCCTGGGTTCGGGGTCAAAGATTGGGGCAATGATTAGCTAAAGATGTTGCCAGCTGAGTGAGGGGCTGACTCCTCCAGAGGCCTAGAGCAGGGAAGGAAAGGGAGGAGATGCCTGTGAGGGGCAACAGAGCCATCTGCAGGTCGGGGGGGAGGGGGGGGCGGGCTCCAGCGGGAGAGGAAGAGTCTTGCCGGTGAGCTTCTCTATCCCAGCCTCTGCCCACTTGTTAAGCTCCCCTCAAGCCCTAAGACCTAGAAGATAGCAATCACCTGATCTGCATGGGTGCTCCAGGCCTGTTGACTGTCTTTGCTTACAATTTAAACTTTAGGATACAGGAGAGAATAACAAGGATGGAGATGAAGTCAGACGTAGGAAGGCAGGTCGGTACGCAGAAAGGAGACTCAAGAGGCTGATGTGATTGGCCATTGTACTTCTTTAAGGCATCAGGGAATGGGGCTGTCAAGGTTAAGGGGGTAGAGCCAGATGGCCGTGGTTTTACAGCAGGAGTTCCAAGAGAAAGGTAAGTGCCAGGGCAAGGACCAGGCCACCAGGACTGTACAGGGTGGGTGCTCCATCCACGTTGCATAGATCGGAATTGCAGCAGGACACTGGCCGGGTTAGGCCAATGCCATCCACGTCTGAGGGTTCACACTTGCTGGCACAGGACTTGGTCACCGTGGAGTCCCCCAAGAAAGGGAACACTGTAGGATGCAGAAAGCGTCAACCAGACTAGTCAGTCCTGTACTGCCTCCGTGCCCCAAGCCCAGCGGCCACCTGCTCTAGGCTCACCCACCCTCCTGGCCTAGATTCCCCTTTCACCAGGACCACTGAGTGCCTGGGACATACAAAGGGCACCTGTGGCAGCTTGCATTGGTCTGTAGGGTGATTTCTATGTAACACAGAATGTAAAACCCTAGCCGCCAGACAGCCAGCCCTTCCCAAGGGCTTCCAACCAATGGCAGGTGCCTCCCATCCCAAGGGGAGAAGGGAAAAGAGGGAGGCCTGACGGCTGGGACAGAAAGTCTTCTAGTGGAAATGGTGGAACGGTGAGATCCCAGCTGGCCAAGATGGCTGGTCTGGAGGGACTGTGGCGTTGGACCCCAGTTCTGTCTCATCCGGAACCTACTGACCAATCTCCCGGGAGTAGAGCGTGGTCTTGCACATGGTTTCGCTGGTGTGGCAGGCGGTGATGGTGACACAGTTGGATGCGCTCACGGGATCCTGGCAGGTATAGCACTTCAAGGCCATAGCTGAGAGACAGGCGACAGGAGAGCAGTGAACAGGCCTCACTATTCCAAAACGCCTGCCAGTAATGCCCAGCTCTGCCACGGAGGCTTAGTACAAGGAGACCAGGGCGCTAGCCAGGGGCCAACTGCCTGCTAACCAAGCTCAGCGATAATACCATGACCATTGAACTAGGGGCTTACAGAAAACACTTACAGAATGTGACTCGGAACAGTGGGCTCAGTTTGGAGCCAGAATGAGGACAGCTACTTTGGAATGATCACACACACACACACACACACACACACACACACACACACACCCCACACAGCCACAGGCCAGTTTTAAACAGACATTGTTAAGGCAGCTGCCATTCTACTTTCTCATCACTAACTGTCCTGCTAAAGGGCTGCCTGTCCTGGGCTCGGGCAAGCAGATCCTTGGAGCACTGTGTGGAAGCTGCACCTAGGAGCTCACAGGTGCCAGCTTGGCAAAGGTGCCCCCCCCCACCAACTGGGGGGTGCAGGTCTAGAGCCTGGCTGAAGGTACCGCACATTGTTTGCCAACATCCCAGCCCCAATCCCGGGGGCCCCAGTATGCTTGACTGTCTCCAACTGGTCCAAGCAATCCAGATTCGTAGGGAAGTTATCTCCCCTCTCCCCCAGTGACCTGGTAGGGCTTCTGCCTCTGGCCAATTCAATCTCTGGAGATGTGGGACCACCTGGCTTTAATCCACACTACGGAGCACCTAACTAGTTGAGTGCCAGCATTCTATAGACATCTTGTGTTCTCTTAAACCCTGAGTCCAGTGGTCACTCCATCTCTGGATATTTCTGGGTCCGCTTTTCCCCTCTACATCTCTGTTGTACCCAGACTCCCAGACAATCTGTCCCAGTGTTCCAGGTTTCCCCTTTCCTCCACTCATGGTCACCCCATCTCTGGATATTTCTGGATCCACTTTCCCCCTCTACATGACCAGAGTGCCTGACAGTCTGCCCCAATGTCCCAGATTTCCCCTGTCCTCCATCTCAAAGACTTTCCCTAGAAAACATGCTAATATCCTGTGGATCCCAGCTGGTACCTCGGACTTTGCCACTGGCTTCTGCCCACCTGATCTGTCCAGCTCTGCCTTCTTCTTCTCTAACACCCACCCCATTAGGTACCCTCTCTGAGGACGATCCCAGGAAGCACAAAACCTGCCACCCCATGCTCCCCCATGCTCCACCGTGCTCACCAAGCTCCCCGCAGGTGGCCAATACCAGTACCAACAGCACCATCCAGGTCCCCTTCATAGTCCCAGTGCCCAGTGCTCACTGAGGCCTGCCAGGTGGGGTTGCTCGAATGCCTATAGTGGTGGTCTGACCGGTTGGCAAACCAGATTAAAAGGGGATCAGATTTCTGCAGGGCCTGCCCTGCCTCCTCACCAACACCCCATTCTGCAGGGCACTCCTTACACTCCTTCCTCACTGCCCGCCCCCCCCCCCCCCCCCCCCCCCCCCG